GCAGTCCCCGTCCCCCCACCCCCACCCCCAGGCACATTCTGGTGACATGGGATTGAGCTCCGAGCTGCCCGCAGGCGTCCCACTGGACAGAAAGCCTGTGAGGTCAGTGATGCACGGCGTTCCACAGCCACAACGTCGGCGTCAGCACCGGCCGCGTGAACCGGGCCGCGTCCCCCCTCCCACTGGGGCACAGACGAGCTGGGATTCAGTGTCTGCATCTGCCCTCGCTTCCCAGAAAGTCGGCTTTGATCCTGCTGGTCCTTCCAGACCCGAGACCAAAGCCCCAACCACGGCCAGCGCCCCGAGGGGAGTCGGCTGCCCAGGGCGCCCCGAGGGCACGTCTCCAGGCGGTGTCGGCTGGGTCATGAGCATCGAGCTGAGGCAGGCGTCGTCTCCCTCCACGGGGTGAATTTCCTCAGCCTGAGCCTCACCCGTCTCTCTGTCCCTCTCGCCTTCCCCGACGTCTGTCTGTCTGTCCGTGCCACGTGTGAAATCACACTGTGCCTGTGCCCGGCCCCGAGGGGTCAGCACCGACACTTCACAGACCAGTTTGCGGCTGAGCCCGCCACCACGGCTTCAGGCCTAGACAGAATCGGTTTGTTTCTAAAAACGCATTCTGAGCCATAAGAAGTAATTTTCAATTTCTTAAAAAAATATTTTATTGATTTCAGAGAGGGAGGGAGAGAAAGAGAGACAAAAACATCAACGATGAGAATCATTGACCAGCTGCCCCCCGCAAGCCCCACACTGGGGATCGAGCCGCAACCCGGGCCTGTGCCCTGACCAGGAGTCAAACCCGGGACCCTTCAGTCCGCAAGCCAACGCTCTATCCACCGAGCCACCCCGGCCAGGGCTGAAGTACTTTTCCATTCACGTCTTCGGGACACACGAGGAGCAACATGCTAAATCCTTGCGAACGACACCACAGAAGGAAACCCCTAGGGACAGGCTCCTTTCCCACCTGAGGCGCAGGCGGGGGACGGACAGAGGATGGAGCGCCTCGCCCTGCTCTCCAGGGGCCCAACACAGCGCCGTCTGCACGGCCCCGAAATCCCACCCCTGACCCAGTTACCATAAGGGATTTCACTCTCCTCCACGCAGCTCACCAGCACATGCCCCCCCCAAGGTGAGGACTAACCCTGGAACCTTACAAACACCCGTTACTTTCTGTTAAACTCACTTTTAACGTGTACTTCCCATACTTACTAATTAAAACAAAACAAAAAAGCAAGAGCTAAATTGTTTCTATCGCCACAAAAATAGGATGGAGTCCTTTCCTTCTTCGTTTTACCAAGTTTGCACAAAGAATAATAAACAGCCCTCTCATGCCAAGCTCGGGAACCCCTAACGACTCTCCTCTCCCCTGAGGTGAACAGACAAAATAAAAAGTTAAAAAAAAAAAAGCAGTTGCAAGCAGATTAGTGAAGCTGTTGTAATGCGCGAAGTGAATGGTGATGCCGATTTTCTAAACCTTGGAAAACAAGGAAACAGGTCTGAAAGTTTAAGCGAGCTTGTCTTTTTTTTCTTTTCCCTCCACGTGCACATGGTAAGGACGATTCCCCTCTTGAATGTCACACCCTCTTTCCACCAGCACGCGGCTGGGGCGTCTGACAGTCACCGCCTGATTCGCAAGCAGCACCATATTGGGAAACCCAGTCTTGTCAGCGCTGCCCGCTCCGTCCAGGACTCGCGGGGGGTGGGGTGGGACAGGACAGCGTCCAGGGGACAGCCAGGCAGCGCAGAGGCCAACAGTCACAAGGGCAGAAACGAGGGTGCCGGAAAGAGCAGGGCAGCCCCAATACTCACACGCGTGCAGCAGAGGGTCTCCATGCAGCAGAAAGAAAGGGAAGAAGCATGAATGGAGAGGAACAGAAAGGCATGGCCAGGACGGGGTGAGGCACCTCGCCAGCAGACAGGGCCCTCAGCAGAGCCATGAGGCAGGAAGGAGGCATCTCGCGAGCAGCAGCGCTAACAGCCCGACATCCGAGCCTCTGGGAGACGTCACCCACTTGCCAAGTGGGTGCACAAGGCCCCTGGCCGACCCTCTGGGACGGAGACAGCTGGTCCTGGCCCGGCTGGTCACCGAGTGGGGACAGGGCGCCTGTGGGCGGGTGTGAGCATCCCTTTGGTGCCAGTCCACGCTCCTGCTGCACGTGAGGGAGGCAGCTGTGCGACACCGGCCGCAGCATCCGGCTGTGTATCGTCTTCCTCTTGGACTTAGGGGTCATCTAGCAACGAAACAGGAAGGCAGCCCCAATACTCACACGCGTGCAGCAGAGGGTCTCATGCAGCAGAAAGAAAGGGAAGAAGCATGGATGGAGAGGAACAGAAGGGCAAGGCCAGGACGGGGAGAGGCACCTCGCCAGCAGGGCCCTGAGCCAGGCGTCCCCCAAACCTGCCCTTCAAACAAACGTCCGGAATCCCTGGAGCATCTGGGACCAAGGTCTCAGCTCAGCATCGGCTCAGTCCTTGGAGGACGTTGGTGCCGTGGGACGGCTGACGGGGGCGGCGGGGCCCACGGGTTTCCAAACGCTTCGTGTTCTCCAAGGCTGCAGCCCCCCACCCCCATCCCAAGGCACATCCTGGTGACACGGGTTGAGCTCCGAGCTGCCCGCGGGCGTCCCACTGGACAGAAAGCCTGTGAGGTCACGGGGTGAATTTCCTCAGCCTGAGCCTCACCCGTCTCTCTGTCCCTCTCGCCTTCCCCGACGTCTGTCTGTCTGTCCGTGCCACGTGTGAAATCACACTGTGCCTGTGCCCGGCCCCGAGGGGTCAGCACCGACACTTCACAGACCAGTTTGCGGCTGAGCCCGCCAACCACAGCTTCAGGCCTAGACAGAATCGGTTTGTTTCTAAAAACGCATTCTGAGCCATAAGAAGTAATTTTCAATTTCTTAAAAAAATATTTTATTGATTTCAGAGAGGGAGGGAGAGAAAGAGAGACAAAAACATCAACGATGAGAATCATTGACCAGCTGCCTCCCGCAAGCCCCACACTGGGGATCGAGCCGCAACCCGGGCCTGTGCCCTGACCAGGAGTCAAACCCGGGACCCTTCAGTCCGCAAGCCAACGCTCTATCCACCGAGCCACCCCGGCCAGGGCTGAAGTACTTTTCCATTCACGTCTTCGGGACACACGAGGAGCAACATGCTAAATCCTTGCGAACGACACCACAGAAGGAAACCCCTAGGGACAGGCTCCTTTCCCACCTGAGGCGCAGGCGGGGGACGGACAGAGGATGGAGCGCCTCGCCCTGCTCTCCAGGGGCCCAACACAGCGCCGTCTGCACGGCCCCGAAATCCCACCCCTGACCCAGTTACCATAAGGGATTTCACTCTCCTCCACGCAGCTCACCAGCACATGCCCCCCCCAAGGTGAGGACTAACCCTGGAACCTTACAAACACCCGTTACTTTCTGTTAAACTCACTTTTAACGTGTACTTCCCATACTTACTAATTAAAACAAAACAAAAAAGCAAGAGCTAAATTGTTTCTATCGCCACAAAAATAGGATGGAGTCCTTTCCTTCTTCGTTTTACCAAGTTTGCACAAGGAATAATAAACAGCCCTCTCACGCCAAGCTCGGGAACCCCTAACGACTCTCCTCTCCCCTGAGGTGAACAGACAAAATAAAAAGTTAAAAAAAAAAAAGCAGTTGCAAGCAGATTAGTGAAGCTGTTGTAATGCGCGAAGTGAATGGTGATGCCGATTTTCTAAACCTTGGAAAACAAGGAAACAGGTCTGAAAGTTTAAGCGAGCTTGTCTTTTTTTTCTTTTCCCTCCACGTGCACATGGTAAGGACGATTCCCCTCTTGAATGTCACACCCTCTTTCCACCAGCACGCGGCTGGGGCGTCTGACAGTCACCGCCTGATTCGCAAGCAGCACCATATTGGGAAACCCAGTCTTGTCAGCGCTGCCCGCTCCGTCCAGGACTCGCGGGGGGTGGGGTGGGACAGGACAGCGTCCAGGGGACAGCCAGGCAGCGCAGAGGCCAACAGTCACAAGGGCAGAAACGAGGGTGCCGGAAAGAGCAGGGCAGCCCCAATACTCACACGCGTGCAGCAGAGGGTCTCCATGCAGCAGAAAGAAAGGGAAGAAGCATGAATGGAGAGGAACAGAAAGGCATGGCCAGGACGGGGTGAGGCACCTCGCCAGCAGACAGGGCCCTCAGCAGAGCCATGAGGCAGGAAGGAGGCATCTCGCGAGCAGCAGCGCTAACAGCCCGACATCCGAGCCTCTGGGAGACGTCACCCACTTGCCAAGTGGGTGCATGAGGCCCCTGGCCGACCCTCTGGGACGGAGACAGCACAGCTCCCGGGCAGCTGGTCCTGGCCCGGCTGGTAACCAAGTGGGGACAGGGCGCCTGTGGGCGGGTGTGAGCGTCCCTTCGGTGCCAGTCCACGCTCCTGCTGCACGTGAGGGAGGCAGCTGTGCATCCCCGCAGCGTCCAAGCCTTTCGGGAAGGACGGAGGCCGGCTGCCTAGGACGCCCTGCACCGCGGTGGGAGCTGGCCTTTCCCACCCAATCTCTGATGCGTTGGACACTGTGGTCGTGAACAGGCGTGAGGCCTCTTAACATTCTGAACACGTGCCCAGGGCTCCTCAGCCTGCGAGTGGAAACAGCGGGGCCTGGCTCAGCATCGGCTCAGTCCTTGGAGGACGTTGGTGCCGTGGGACGGCTGACGGGGGCGGCGGGGCCCACGGGTTTCCAAACGCTTCGTGTTCTCCAAGGCTGCAGCCCCCCACCCCCATCCCAAGGCACATCCTGGTGACACGGGTTGAGCTCCGAGCTGCCCGCGGGCGTCCCACTGGACAGAAAGCCTGTGAGGTCAGTGACACACGGCGTTCCACAGCCACAACGTCGGTGTCAGCACCGGCCGCGTGAACCAGGCCGCGTCCCCCCTCCCCCTGGGGCACAGACGAGCTGGGATTCAGTGTCCGCATCTGCCCTCGCTTCCCAGAAAGTCGGCTTTGATCCTGCTGGTCCTTCCAGACCCGAGACCAAAGCCCCAACCACGGCCAGCGCCCCGAGGGGAGTCGGCTGCCCAGGGCGCCCCGAGGGCACGTCTCCAGGCGGTGTCGGCTGGGTCATGAGCATCGAGCTGAGGCAGGCGTCGTCTCCCTCCACGGGGTGAATTTCCTCAGCCTGAGCCTCACCCGTCTCTCTGTCCCTCTCGCCTTCCCCGACGTCTGTCTGTCTGTCCGTGCCACGTGTGAAATCACACTGTGCCTGTGCCCGGCCCCGAGGGGTCAGCACCGACACTTCACAGACCAGTTTGCGGCTGAGCCCGCCACCACGGCTTCAGGCCTAGACAGAATCGGTTTGTTTCTAAAAACGCATTCTGAGCCATAAGAAGTAATTTTCAATTTCTTAAAAAAATATTTTATTGATTTCAGAGAGGGAGGGAGAGAAAGAGAGACAAAAACATCAACGATGAGA